CACACACACACACACACACACACACACACACACACACACACACACACGCACACGCACACGCACACGCACACGCACACGCACGCACACGCACACACACACAGCATACATTACTCTTCAGAATCACTTATCTCGAGATTCGGAGAGAAAATAATATTTAAAATATTAAAAATTTTTGACGCGCAAAAAATTTTACTTTTGACCTCCGAAAACACGTTTGCCTTAATAAAAATCACATGGCATATATAATCTCACTAAACTCTGTTGGTCACATGGGCACTATAAGCAGTGTTTACAATATTAATGGCGAGTTCACACAACATATAGATTTCGAGTAATTGTAGTGACGACTTTGCCGCCTGTCTCCCCTATAATATAAGTATATAAATATACATTTTATGAATTTACAATAGTAAACAACTGTTTCTCAAGCTGATTCATACTTTTAATTAACAGACACACGGTTTTTGATTTACAATTAATTTGTGATTCACTCAACATGCTTCTTAGGAATTTTTCTGTAATGCGTATATTTTACAAGATGTGCAAGAGAGAAATCGTTATTATTTATACGTACAAAATATTTGTGCACATTTTCTCGCAACGTGGCGTTGATATGTCCTAGATAAAATATTATTAAAATATGCCTTGCAAATAAATTATCTTCCAAATATAATAAATGATTTTTTAGGCCTATACATAAACAGGCATAATCTGAATTTACCTTATTGCTTAATGATTGCATTTTTCTTATATTGTCTTTTTTTTCCAACAGAAGTAAAAATCCAAAAAATAATACGAAGAAATCGAACAAATAAATTGATGATATTATTACTGTGTTAACCGCGCGCGCGATACCACGTTGCGACATAACAGATAAAAAGGTAATAGAACAAAATGCGTTAATTTCTTCTTATATCGTTTGTCTATAGCTTACAAGTTTTACGATCGATACATTATATTTGATTGTTAATACGCCTTTAGAACTAAGAAATAGTTATCAAAACAGAACAATACATTTTCAGTATAATTATTGCACAGCTAGTCTTTTCAGTATTATTTTTCTTTTTCTTACGAAAGAATACGAAATAATATACGTACATATTTACAAAGTATGTACAATAATGAATAATAAAATTCGACAAGTTTCCTAATCTTTATCACAGAAGAAAAGCAATAATGTACATACATATACAATAGTATCATATACATATAATGATCTAAACAAACTTTCTATATTAATTATTAATTATTTATCTCTTCCCTTTTGAAAGTACTATATTTTATGAGAACAAGCATAAAATTAGTATGTAAATTATTTGAAAATTATTTGATAATAATTGCATATGTGTGTATAACATGACGCTTTAAATTATTAATTGTTTAATATAAAATATACAATAACTTAAAGGAAATCATAAATTGACGTAGAGACAAATTTCAAATTGAATAAATTAAAATAAAAACTGTATACAAATTCTATCACATTAATACAGCAAGCAATTTATACGAAAAAGTGACGTTGTTGCATCGACTCTGTTCTCTTTTCTTGCAAGAGAAGATTCATTTTCCGCAATGATAATTGCTCTTTACGAGCAAACTATTAATGAAGATAAAGATAAACAAAATTTGCGTAGCCGGCCTTGCAGATATTTTTGTTGTACTATATTACGATAATTACGTTGATTAAATTTTTTGTCAGTGTTGCGACATATATTGCCCGTTATTTAACTGAAATAGTAAATATGTATGTTTCTTACAGGCGATTGTGTAAATATCGATATCAGAAATGAGTAACCATATTTCTTTTTTACAATTATTATATTTGATATTTAAGTAACAAAAAGAATTTTTTAAATAACAAAATGTAACAAACAAAACTAAAGCATTTTGGTTAGTTATACAATAAGTATAAAACTAAATTTGAAATTTTATTATTACAATCAATAGTTTTCAATGTTCAACAAGCAAATTCAATAATCCAATTAAAGTTATTATTGCGATTAATCATTTCTGATCAAAATTAAAACTGCTTAAGTTTACGATAGCCGAAGATTATTAGTAACAACATTATTGAGCATTTTCTCTTTACTGTACATAGTGTACATACTAAATATTTTCTTTTAATCAATTACTGTGACGATAAAATTGGCAAAACAATTAGCGTGGCATTATACATACATATAATTGTGCCACGTTCGATTGTAAATATGTAACTGCAACTAAAGATCGAAAACATTGTATAATTCGTCGCTATTGCCAATCATCCAATGTTGCAGTAATTATTCGTGCGTGTTGTTATACACGTGTGAAACGGCAAGTTAATGCTAATATTTCACTGTCACCAGACGATCGACGCGAAACACAGATACAACGTTAATCGACAATTACTGAAGATTGTATTATTATCGATTCTACACATATATTTGAATGACTAGATTCTAGATCGGTGTTACGAATATCACGGGGACTTGAGATATTGTTACTTATTGATGTGATTTTTGCTCAAAACAATTAACGCGACTAAGAAACAAAAGATATAAATAAATGCGCATATGCTCATTGAACTCGAATAAAGGCTCACAATCGCTACTTTGCCATTCTGGAAGTTGAGTTCTTTCAACCGTTTTCTTCTTCGTTTATCGCTTGATTAACTATCTCTCACTCCCTCTCTCCCTCCCCCGCTCTCTCTCTCTCTCCGATTGGAAGTAACAGTTATCACGATAAGAACGAGAAAGAAAGCATGTACAATTGTACATATACCTACTTATATATTTGTAAAAACTAAATGTCACAACGTTGCGTTTTTTTCAACACTGTTTGGTTCAATGACAAACATTATTTGGAACGAATTAATCTTGATATTATCTACATAAAAATTAGATGCTCAAATCGCCGAGTTGCGTTCACAATACGTCACGATATAATTCGTTTTCGTGTAATATATTCTCGACAATACTGTTGTTGTGACTTGTCGTTATACCAATTACATAGCCTTTTCTGTAATAGCAGAAAATAATAATCAAAAGTTTAAAGATTTCATCCATAACAATTACAGTCCTGAGAAAGTTTTTAATTATATTATTTATAACATGTTAATTTCGTAATATCAATGCCGATGAGATATTAATAAAATCAACAGTAAAATAAATTGGCAAAAACTTCATGTTTGCAATGGCTATAATTGGGTTAAAAGCAACTTTTGATATTTATAACTAAAGTGTAACGCAATAATTGAATTAGCAAAGATTATACTTTTTCGACAAGTTATAAAAATACAATGTAATGTTATAATATATATGTATCCATGTATACCACAAGTACCAGTTTATGCACTTAACTGTTGATGCAATCATTGCTCAACTAAAATTTTTAAAGACATAATTCACAAATTAATATTTAGCTACTTAAAAATATGTTTTTAAATCTTAGTTGCAGGATTGTGTATAGATCAATTCTAATAGAACATTATCCTTTATAATCTTGAAATACAACATTATCAGTATCTCAGTTATGAGAGACGTACATGGCATAATGCCAGCCGATTGGAACTTGACCGGAATTACAAAGGTAAAATTCAACGTGGGGATTCCACAACTTATTATATACCCAAAACAAAAATAATTAAATAATCTCATTCGTTTGATCGCGATCTAAAGAGAGACGTATGGATTCAACATAATAAATCTTCATATATGTATTCATATGACTAGTGTCGGATTAACTAATTCTTATTGAAACGGTATCTGGACCATTCCGTATCTATCTTTTTCTCTTTTAATAACATATAATTCTCACACACACTTTTTTTTACTTTATTAATTTTAAAACTATAGTAATATTTGTTTAATTTAACAATTTGCTCGAAACGATACGTTAACCACAAAAAACGATACTTAAACAATAATATATACTTATAGGATTATTGTGAATATGTATCATTTTAAATAGAGAATTAATAAATAATACATTGAATTAAGTTAAATAAATGTATGTATATCATTACTTATTTTATATTTATAAATGAGTATTGTTGTTATAGAATTAATCGTATTCTCATTTCAATTTTACTATGCGTGTATGCATATATTTTTATAAAAGTGAATTATTTTTATTGTCTTGATATACACATCTAATCATAAAACGTCCTGTAATATAAATATAAATATTTCATAACTAGTCAAGTCAGATTGTTTCTCAAAAATAGAATAAATTTATTGCAGGAAATATATATTGCAGGAATCATCGTAATATAGCATTATAAAGGAAAAGCAATTCTGTCAGTAAAACCGCGAGATTCAGATAAAAAAGAAGCCATCGAAGAGGGAAAAAAGCTACATCTTCGACTTGAAAGAAAATACATTAAGAGATTTACAGGACTGTGGGCTCTCTATCGTAGCTTTTCAAAGTTATATCTGTTCAGATATCCTACCAAATATTCGCAAAAGCGGTACGTCTCTTCTCTCGCAAAGTGTTCAGCAAAGTTTGTCGTTCAGTCGGAATCTCCTTCGTTCCTCCACAGGCACGATTTTATTGATCCTCACGAAGCACGACATACTTTTCATTGGCTATGAAAGCTTAAAAATCTAACTTTGGCAATACGACATAATCTATGTATACATGCGTGTCTCGAACTTTATGCGAGATATATCCGGTATATTCGCGCGTGTTTATAGTCATCGTAAAAAAAAAAAAAAAAAACGGTGAATTCTTCTCTATCCTCTTCGTTTTCGTTTATTTGGCAAAGTGGTGGAGGATAATGTTTCGGCAGGATTATGTGTATGCATGCGTGTGTGTGTGTGTGTGTGTGTGTGTGTGTGTGTGTGTGTGTGTGTGTGTATTTTGTGCGTATGTATGATCATGTTTAAATTGGCGCACGCGCGCATTTATATATGATACGTATGTGAGTGTTGTCTATACAGAGACATGTATTTCTTGCAATCGCTTAGAACCTTGGGAACATTGTTTTGTCTCAAAGACTGCTGCCAAACTCACTTGATCTTCGTCGATCAATGTGCTTTATGTATGTTTCTGAGTATATGCTCTTGGTGCGATCGTCGTATCTGAAAACAAAATGAAGCAAATTCAAAGTTATTTCTTCGGTAAAATCATTATAAACGGATTTGTTTGATATTAATGATTGGATAATATTTCGATAATATATATGTATAACTGATTGTGAGTTGTGTGTGTGTTGAAAAAACTTGAAATAAACTAATCTTTTAGTAAGTCTTTTTGCTATTAGCTTTTACTTATCCTACATACAAGATGGCACTGTACGTGGGCCATTTTGTATGCAATGGATAAATAACATTTGCGCATTCCATATCTTTTTAATAATTCTGTATAAGCATAAAAAATAATAGTATTAAGTATAATTATTCTACTTTATTCGATACTAAAACTGAACAAATTAAAACAATATAACTTGGTAAAAAGATTCATGTACATCGTAACGTATTATACCGTATATGGTATAATAATAAAGAAATTTAATATTTTTTGTCTATTTGTCTATTTACAGCTAAATTTCCAATCTAAAACAGTATACTAATATACCAAATTAATCAAGTCAAATAAACAGATTTATAAGTAAAAGAATTATCATGTTTTAATATTACGTAATGTTTCAAACAAAAACTAGCGCATCAAAAACATTTGTTGTGTAATGGAAAGGTAATCATTCCGTTTAGTATCTTTTGATTCTCATATAGTTGTCAGTTCAATCATCGTCGCGCAACATTGCGGATGCAGCTCGTGCGAGATACGCAGTACATGTAATTGAACAGACTAATGGAGTAATTGGCGCAGGGAATGAAAATGGAGATACATGACGCCATACATCCACGCGGATTAAATTAGGTTTAACTTATGAGTTTAACGAGATCGTTTCTTAGAACTGCGAATATATAACGTTTTTGTAATAAATTCGAACTTATACTCAACTTATCCTGCATTTTTTATCTTTACTCTTCTATTACACTGTTCAACAAAAAATTACTTTTTTTCGAGCACAAGAACGAGAATAATCGTTCCCCATAGTTTTTTGGGGTGCTGAATACGATCCCGTTTGCCAAATTGCTCTATCACGTCATAATTTCGAAAAATTTGCAAATAGTTGCAAAAAGAGTTACTTTATTGTATTTTGGCATATTATAACTACACGATATGTGAAGTGTTGAACAAGTTTTATTACAATCAAAATTAAGTACGTTGTTGGGACTTTCAGCTCTTAAAAGAAATTTGTTTTATCGATTATGGTTGGAGGGTTATTGATGATTGACATAGAGTCTAGACATATAGAGCATCGCAAAGTTGCGGCTTACATAGGTCATTGAGAATCTCTGTGAAATGTTTTTTGATTACATTATTCAAACTTTTAATGATTTTTCAGGTCGGTGAATACCAATCTGATGTCAAAGATGATAAATTCAAAATAACGGAGTCAATATCAAAAGTAAAAATTTGACCATTTTGAATTCATCAACTTTGACATCAGATTGGTATTCAGCGCCTTGAAAAATCTTTAAGAGTTTGAGACTATGATCAAAAAAGATTTCACATAGATCTATAATGGTCTATATACATATAAGTCGCAACTTTGACACAATAGATTCTATGTCAATCATCAATATCTTTTTAATCATAATCGACACAACAAATTTCTTTTGAGGTTTGAAGATTCTAATAACATACTTAATTTTGATTGCAATGGAGCTTCTTCAACACGTCACATATCGTAGTTATAATATGCCAAAATATCCCATTGCAGCGAAGTCAAAAAGTTATAATTTTATAAATATAATATTAACTACCTTACTTTAATTAATTTGGAATGTATCAAGGGCAACTTTAATTTATCGAGTAACATACGTAGTAGCATTGTATGTAATAAAGTTTTGAAAGAAAAATGCCATAAAATGAAATGCATACCTTAATTTGTCAGACCAGATCGTACCTGAGGGATGGCCGACGAAAATCCAGCGCTTCGAGATCCGATGGTTCTCGTCTACAGAGCGAACAGAAAGCGCACTGCAGGGTATTTTTAAACGCTTCTCGAAAGTCGCGATTAAAATACGCATAGATCAATGGATTTAATGCTGAATTCGTGTACCCAATCCAAAATAGAATCGCAATCACGACGTTGGGACACGGACAAGTCTCGCCGCAAAGCGCTGTAATGACGTACCTAACAATTGAATTAATAATTATTTGTCTATATACAAATGTTGTAAATACAAAGACAGAAGATTAATTATTTTTAAACTTAAATCTCGAGAGCAATGGGAAATATGAAAACTATTTTATTCAAACTTAACACTTGTTTTAACCCTCCAGCTGTGTACTTTTTTTTGGGACCTTGCATACGTGGGTCTGTCGCGTCCGACATTATTTTTCCTACTTTAAAGTATTTTAAAAATCTGAAAAAATTCACAAAACATCTGTCAACATTGTAGTTGACGATTTTATAATCATTTTGATAAACATCGTTTATTTAATATTTTATTTTTAATAAACTTTGAATAAGAATAAAGGAAAGAGATGGATTTCTTTAAAACTTTGTAATCTTTTTCTATGCAATATAAAAAATCCTTTTAAGGTTTTTTACTTCAAAGATAAGTGTTCAAGAAGAAAAATAGTGCAAATTGATATCTTCAAAAAAGTTGAATTATTCAGGAGGGTCAAAATAGTACTTTTTAGGTAGAGAACATCGTTGATAAGTAAAAAATTAAAGATAAAATTATATATAATATAGCGTATATGACTTTTTAAATAATTTATTACAATTTTATGATACAATATGTAGAATATGTTGAAAAAAATTCGTCCACCGAGCTTCGGTCGCCGTCCGAAATTCCATTTTTTGGGAATAACTAAACTATAGAGAAGCAACTATTTATCAAAATCTTTTAAAGAAACATTGTTTTGTCCAAAAACAATTACATTTATCATAAATAATTGCAACATTGTTACTGACAGATAAAGACTATGTCGAGTGTATACCTGGGTCTGAGACGTCCGTGCGAGATTTGACTCGCTCGGCATTCAGCGATATGTTTATCTTTCGAAGCGGCTTTGGGTCCTTGGATTCCTTCCCCCACCTACTTTTTTTAGAGGGGGGAGCCAGATAGGCAGGATTGCTGGTTCTCAAGTTACAAGCAGACGTTGTTTTGGCATGGACGCCGTAGACCCACGTATGCAGCTAGAGGGTTACATTTAAGCAACTTGATGCGCTTTTTAAGTTCCTGTAAGACTGTTTTGTATCTCTAATAAAAAATAAATTCCTTAAAAAAATATAATTTAAATTCTGTTTCCTATTATTAAATTTTGTATTAAGTAATCTGTTAATGATGGTATAATTAAAAAGGGTACAAGAAAAATAAATCAAAAATGTTAGATAAATACTTTTTATAATTTTGTTTTTCAAAAAATTAAATGACGAAACTGGTAAATTGAAAATATCCTTTTCTGCTTTCAATTTGTCTAATTTGTATAATACGGGTTACAAATTGATAAATTTAATTCAACAACAATTCTCTCTCTCTTTTTCTCTCTCATTCTCTTACTCAATTACCCTCATTTGCCTTTTATTAAAATATGTATACATAAAATTAAAATATCCGATTAAATAGAAAAAATAATTTCTCTTGACATGTTACAAGTAGCTTTTATAACAACATTTTTTATGTTATATAAACAAAAAATTGAATTTGTTAATTCATACTTTAATAGTCAATACACATTGAAATACGTTGGATAATTTATATATTGTAATGTAGTTAAAAAATATTTTTCGAAAATGACTAAAAATATTTCCAAGTTTTTTGCAATTGATTTTCTTAAAAACAATGCCTTACATTGAAAAATTGTTACATCTTTGACTTTTTATCTGATTTAGAATCGTCACTTTTCCGATATCATCGTTAATAATAGATCACTCTGTATGTATAAAAAGTTGTATTTATATACGTTAAAAAGAAACAAACATTTTACTAATATGTATAATCAAACATAAATAAAATATTGATAAATCTATCGATTGTGTCATCTATCAAATTAAGAGAGTAATCCGTTAGGGTTAAAAATACACATTAGAATTAATCAATTACGAGCACATTGACACACATACATGTAGTGTTTTATTAAAAGAACTTGAATGCACATACCAAAGGAAAAATGGCAACCAGCAAAGGATGAAGGTACCCATAATGATACTCAGCGTTCTTGCCGCTTTGTGTTCTCTCTTCATCTTCATCATATGTTTATCTTTTGTGGGGGTGTGTAAATGCTCGGTGTTGATCTCATTTAAAGTTAATGTTTTTGACGATCCGGCACTGTTTAGTTCTCCATTTAAATTATTAAGATCCTTACTTGGTCTGTGACTGAGCAACATGGCATTGCCCATTCTGCTGTGCATCTGCTTCTCTTGCTTGTTAGCCTCTTTAAATATAGCAAAGTATGTGACCGCCATGATGGTACACGGTATCCAGAAGGATATGCTTGATGACAGTATAGCGTATATTCTGTTGACCTTAAACTCGCAGAGTTCTGGATGCTTGTGCCTGTGCACGCTGTTCTCTTCCGTAGTGTACCAGCCGCAGAAGATCGGCACGAAGGAAATGATGGCCGGCGACACCCAACAGGCCAGTAGCATAAACGCCACCACTCTCTTCGTCATGTTGATGGGATACTTGAGTGGCTTCACGATCGCATAATATCGATCCACCGAGATGCACATCAGATGGAGTATCGAGCTAGTGCTAAAGTAGACATCTAAGGAATTCCAGACGTCGCACATAAAATAGCCGAAAAGCCATCTGCCGGTCACCTGCACGCTAGCGTTGAAGGTCATCGCGAACATTGCCACCAGCATATCCGCCAGTGCTAGCGAGACCACAAAGTAGTTGGTGATGATTCGTAGCTTTCTGTGCCGTATCACGGACACCATCACCAGCAGATTACCGAACAGCGCCGTGGCGATAATCGAACCGAGGATGCAGACTTTGACGATTGCCGAAGGCATGTCTGACCAGTTGACCGCCACCGCATTCACCTCGGTATTATTGCCATAAGGATTCTCCTCGGTCGAAGTGACGTCCAATAGCGGTGTCACGTCGAACGAGGAAATCTCCGCCGGATCGAACGTCGTTTCCGCGGTCATGCTCGCCCAAAGGCGAGTTGGCGGCTGAATCCTAGTCTACACTGAGCGTTGACCGTCCTCTATAATACTTTAGTTTTTCTCCTTTCGGTCGAAGAGTTTTAGGAAAATGACTTTAGGTGACGGAAGTCCCGACTAGTTGACACATCTGACGGGCGTTCATTTTCGATTCGAGCAAGGGGGAAGATCGCTTTTTCACGTCTTGAGCTCCTGCAACCAGCGCGATCGCTCAGGTCTTTACGAAGTGTACGAAGAGACTTATTCGAAAGGAACGCAAACAAGCTCGCAACAATGCTTTGGCAATGCTACTATGTCGTCATATATACGTATACTCTTCGGAATCTGTAAATAAAAAACAGAGAAACATTCTTAAGAAAATCAACAAAACAATTTTTAAATCTGCTATCGCTATCGCTATCGCAATTCAAGCGAGTAGATGTATAAGCGTTTGCAAACATATTGCATATTACAGAGAAGATATTCTTTTCATTAGAATGTGTTTGGAGATTAACTGCAAGATATATGTGTGTAATTTAAACAGAATAATCGGTATAAAGTTGTATGGCAACAATGAACATTTTGTTTCAAAACATTCGAGAGATATTTCATTATTTTTATATATATATATAATATACTACCACACAATATTATTTGACACATTTTCTCGCAACAAATGATGTCAATATGAACGTTGTTAAGTTAAGAAGCTGTTTGTTTAATTTAATATTACAGCATCTAAAGACTTTTTCTTAACATTTTCTGTAATTATTTTATATCTGAAGCTAATACATTATGAATATATTTTTCATAAATTGAGCACTGCAAAAATGAGTAGTTATGTGGATTATCTCTATTGGACTAAATTTTATAATTACCTATGTGATATTTCTGCATGACAAAATAAAAATAAAGTAATTTTTTACGCAGGAAAAAATTCAATGACTGGTATTGCAATAATAAAATAGAAAATAAATACAAAATAGTAATATAAGAAAGAAAGAGTATAGTTTGATATTTTTACACAATTTACATCTTAATAATTTGTACATGATTACATTTTTTTAACTTTACACACATCTATCAAATAATAATTTAACATTAAGATGCATTTAAGATGTATACATTTAAAGGTTTATGCTATAAATTTATCGATTTAAGATAAAAATCCTATATCTTGAAATGTTTTCACAATCCTGTTCATCTTTTCTTTAGATAGTCTGCTCAGTTTGCTCACAATTGTGATGTAAACCATAGATATCGTATAACTTATAAATAAACTTGGATGTAATAGACGATTCATATGCGAGCCATCGGCGTATAGACTCTTCGATTGCTGTATTCCTTCCAGATTCGCATATCAACTGGTACGGCAGTTTTCCATTCGTTTCTACTTAAAATGAGGACACGTCGGAAGAGAGCTGGCAACCTTCAATAGAACGTCCTCTCTTCTCTTTCCCTATTTCTTTTTCCCTCCCCTACATCTTTCTCAGTCACTGTTCCTCTTTCTCTTCCCTCTTTGCATCTTTCTGTCTTTTTCTCCGACATAGTAGTCGTGTGGCGACAGTGCTGTGTCAAGTGCACTCTCGTCGAGCCCATGTAATTTATGATCCGCTATTTTTGCGGTATATTTAGGTCAATTATTCCAGCAGTAGCGTTGGTCGGCCATGAAAAGAAGAGACCGAGAAAAAAGCTACCACTCAAAGAGATGCAATTTTTATTCTTGAATAAACTAATACTGTTAATATTGTCAAAATCAAGAACGCGGTGAGAGAAGACACACCGAATGAAGAAAAAATAATCATTATGTTAAAAGACAACGCACTATTGACCAATTTATAAAGACAAACAAAGTTTTAGTCGAGTAGCAATATTTCACTTTACGCGGCGGTAATAGGTTTATTTCAATTTTGTTCCAACTTTTAACCATCATATTTTTTTCAATTGTATAATTACCTACTGTAGAGCAATTTTTCGGCGATGACAGAATTTTGTATGATTTAATTATAATAATTTGCATTTTTTTCCAGTAACTCTTGTTTTTCGCACGAAATAAGAGAGAATTGTGATTAAATTATAGACTTGTCGGCTTTATGTGAAAAATGATTGAAGATGTGTGTGTGTGTGTGTGTGTGTGTGTGTGTGAACAAATAAAATTAATAAAGTTATTGCATGCTTTGTTTTAATATAAAAATATATGATACCAAGTACAGTTTCTATATTTATATGATTCATCAATATATGGCTCTCAAGTTGCAAATTTAATTAGAAAAATTTAATTGTGATCGCGATAATGTAATTTGAATAATGACTTATATAACGGTTTAATTGTAAAGATAAAAAGGTAAACACACGCGCGTACATAAATAATATATTACTGTAAACGATGTTATTAAATGAAAATTTATATATATGGAGTACCGCGCTAACGAGTGTAATATATTAATGAAAATCAACAGGTGGTACGCAAAAGATTAATAAAGAGAATCAAATTTTACTTTAATATTAATATACATATGTTATTATATGTTATATATCTATCGATCACTTTCATGCACCTTCCTTCAGCTACAAAATTTGTTTTTAATACAATGAGAGCTAGAGAAGCGTAAGATTGGACAAGATTGGAAAATTAAATATTAAAAAATATAAGATTATATTATAATTTTAATTAATTAATTAAATTGTTATTAACGTGATAGAAGAGTGATATCTCTCTCTCTCTCTTTTTCTCTCTCTCTCTCTTTCTCATCATATGGCATAAATAGCTGTAATAGTAATAGAGTGCTATATCGCTTTATCAAAAATTGCATAGAGAAATCGTTGGCGAATATTGTTGTACCTGCTGCCTGAGCAGAAGTAGCCATTCGATTCTACTATTGATACTAGCAGCGGAAAAAATTTCTATTTTCCAGTATCTTTGACAAAATTCTACGTATATAAAAAATTCTACATATATGAATACATACCTATAAGAAGAATCGGAGTGCATATCTCGTTTATGCGGTAGAGAATCGCATCACGTAACGATGCCGAGCATGTAAATCGCACACAGGCGTCTATTGAATATAAGTAGAATTCTCGACGCTAAGACTGGCCAAGGGCAGACCTCAGAATTCGAAAGATCAATGATGAGTCGGTCTCGTATCTTACCGCTTTCAGCATAATGAGAATTTCTAGCATTTTCGAGCGTTTGTATCGGTACTAATGCGATTTCGTATATAGTCACGCGTAAAACTTTATCGAGACCTTACAAAACTAATAAATTGGATTATTGTTTCGTCGGAACGTCATATATCAATCAAAAACGTCTAAATTTTTCAGCAACTACTTATTACCTATTCAATAAAGCTTACGTATAGGCTCGAATAGTTTGTGCATGGGCAAACTGCTTGAATAATTTAATAAGCCAAAAGAATTCCTAAAATACAAAAAAATTATTATTTTAAACATTTTTACTAAATATTATAACTTCTTTCTTCATAAATTATTTATATATTGTAATTTAATTTACAATATATTATTATAATTTAATTTTGAAACATTAAGATATAGATATATTACTAAATTTTCTTCTTTCTTAGTAATATATATATTTTGGATGCTTATATTTGTTTCTAAATTCTGAGATACGGTGAATTATTTTTTATTTGTCTGCGAACTTTTTTTGAATGTGATATTTCTCAATTTGAGAGTTGCTCAATAAAAATTTTTTAAATAACTTATGTGTAATAAGGATCACTCCCGTAATATACATATAATTTTGTCTTCAAGCGTCAAAATATACCGTACCTTACAAAATTAAAAAAAAACTCTCGGTCCACAAAAAAATATACTATAAAAATTTTGCTTGTGCCACGAAACGCGCCACGTTATACCTGCCGAAAAATTTCGTTGCTGATTCTCTCGTTTCTTTTTTAAGCAAGCGTACGCTTACAAGCATGGTATTGTGGTCTTCGCAATTTGTCAGGGCAACCGTCGAGGGATACGTACGCTTAATACGCGATTCGCATCATGTACGCCGAAACCCTCCCGAAACGTGAATAGCATAAATAAGTCATCCAACAATATAAGAATCGTCATTTTAGCTCAGAATTTTTTCTCCCGCTGGTCCTTTGCATATTTCGTCGTTTCAGCGAAAATAGCACATTGATTTATTACACGATTTTATTAACATGTACAGAAAAATGCAGATGTAAGAAATACTTTTAAATTTGTTTATTTTATTTCCTTTTTATTAGTTATATTCTTTTTTAGAGTTTATTTATTTTTGTTTATTTTATTCTAATATCATGTATCAAAATCTTTCAAAAGGCCTGCTTTAATCCGTTCTTCCATCTCTTTTCATAAACACACACACACACACA